GTGGAGAAGGAACACCGAGGAGTACCTGCTGTGGTCGTTGACTAGGACAAGCATGTATCGGTGTTCTTGGTGGGAAGGGGAAGGATTAGGGCCCCAGAGGTCGATGTGGACCAGGTCAAGGGAGGCGGCAGCAAAGGAAGGATGACTCAGGTGAGGTTGTTGTTTGAGCTTTCCATGAATGCATGTGGCGCATGGGGGAGTGGAAAAGGACGGGAGGGGAGGAAGAGTGGGGGGAAGACCATCAAGCAAGCAGGAGGAGATGGCTTTATGAAGTGTGGAAATGTTCATATGACCAAGGCGATGATTGATAAGAACAGCGGGGTGGGACAGTGCGCGACAAGAGCTTAGGGGGGAGGTGGAGTTGGAGAAAGGTGGCTCTAGAGGGAGGGGAGGGGGGAGAGTGGAGGTGCTTGCACGAGTGGTCACATGGCATAAAGAGGGGCGGGGTGTGCTGAGGATGTACTGAGGAGAGCGTGGGCAAAGTGGGAGGCGATGAAGGAGGCGACGAGTGGGGCCGTGGAGGAGGTCACAATAGGTGGCAGAGGTGGGGAAGAGGGTAGTGATGCCAGCATTTTGGAGTTCACGGATGGAGAGCAGGTAATGATGAAGGGAGGGAATGTGGAGACCAGTGACCACTTCGGAGGGGAAGGGGAGGCAGGGGAGGGTGGAGAGATGAGTGCAAGGGACGGAGAAGCTGGAATCAGCGCCATGAACGTTGGTGGGGAAAGGGAGGGAGGTGAGGGTGCCGGCGTCTTTGAGGTCAGTTTCAGAGCACTACTATCGAGAACAAAGTCAATCGTGAGCGAGGAGGGAGCTGAAGACAAGGGGTACTGGAAATCAGCGGCATTAAAAACAGAGGGATACATGGAAGTGGAAGCAGGGGAAGAACACATGAGCTCGCCTAGAAAGCTGGAGTGGGAGGTGGGAGCACTAGGGGAAGGAGAGCTCCAGAGAGGATAGCCAGGAGGACCTGTTGTGGCTGTGGCAGCCATGGCGGCGGTGCCAAAGCCAAGCTGCTGCTGCTGCCATGCAGATGCTGCGACTGCGGCTCCTACAGCTGCAGCTGCAGCCTGACCAACAGAGCCCCACTACTGCTGCTGCTGCATCTGCTGGTGCTGGTGTAGCTGCTGGAAGCGGCGAAACAGCTGCAGTTCCTGGGCGTTGGTGCATATTCGTTTGCACGTCATCCTGTCGTCTGTTCGCATCATTTCGTTTGCATGTGTTTCGTGTGATATGTTGTTTGTGTGGTTTGTTGGGTTTGCATGTCTTTGCATGTTCATCTTGTGCTTGTTCAGATGCACCTGGATTGTGCATGACATCAAGCACATTTCAACGAGCCAAGAATTGTTGGAATCAGAGCACATATGAAGAAGTTACGAAGAAACATTTGATGGCTTGTTTCAACTTATTGGAAGTCCTTGGCAGCTGCTACACCAAAGTTGGAGAGCCCTATAACGAGGAGGGACCAGCATGTGTTAGAATTTTGTCCTCACCTTGCAGCTGCAGCATTTGGGGTTTGGAGGCCAACCTGGCACAGTGTGAATTTTGTCTTGCCAGGCTGGTTGAGCCTGAGGATGGGGAGTCAAGAAATTGACTCTTGTCATGTTCTTGACCAAGGGCCTTCACAGCCCTTCCCTTTCATCCTTCCCTTCATACCTCACCTTCCAAACTGTGCTTCAATGTTTTCCATCATGTCTTTGAACTTTGTAACCTTAGATGATTGTGACTCTGAGGACTGTCAACTTCTCCTAAGGCAGATTACCCCCCAGTGCATTCATTGTCATAGCTCACTCGGTAGGCTAAAAATTCGAGTGATTCAACTTGCATTGGAAAGCTAATGCTGCAAGCAACAACATATCAGAGTTTCACAGTGTTTCATCTATTCAATCTTCGGATATAGCTTTTCAAAGGTTGCGAGCTTTCTGGGCGCCATAACAAAGTGCTGCAGAAATTTCGAAGGAGCTGTCAAATCTTCTGCTCATAGCCTTTTCGAACCAACAGCTGGTATCAGAGCCCATTATCACGCATTTTGGGACCTAAAATACGATGGGAGATAAGGAGGACTCTGGTGGAGGTGACACTACAGCTCAAGGAGGCAGCTCAACCCAAGATTCTGGCATTGCAGCGCAAAGAGGAGTGCGTACAAGCCAGGGGTCATTGCTTAAGGAGGTGCTGAAACATTTCACTATTGAGCCGTTCTCAGGAAATGGTTATGATGATTGGGCATGAAAGATGCAGCTCTACTTTCGACAAATTGGCCTTTTGAATCTCATGATTTCAAAGAAGCCAAGGCCAAACGGACGTGGTAGAGCAAACGGACTGGGATGAACGTTCATCTGCTGGGGATTATCTATTATCCCAAAGATTGGAGCTGAACCAGAGGCATCACATCATGCATCTGCTACCGGAAACTGATTGTGGGCCCAAGGCATGGGCAGTGCTCAAGGACCTGCATGCGCCGACATCGGTTGCCGCTACTCTCATGCTGGATCGGGAGCGACGTTGCGGTTGAGCAAGAATGAAGCTGTGCAACCAGTACTGGACAAGATGAGGGAACTCTACGGGAAATTGGCGATCGCAGGCAGCACGTACCCTGAGCAGACCAAGTGTCTCAAGATGCTCAGCCTGCTGCCCGAGTTTTGGCTGCAATTTATAAGCGGACTCAGCTTGCCACAAAACCAAAGTCAACAGACATTGGAGTGGATTCGCACCAAGATTATGGAAGAAGAGTTTCATCGCTGTCAACTGCGCGGAGGTGATGACAGCACCAGCGGCTATGCCATGCAAGGGACATGGAGGGATCGAGGGCGTGGCAATCGCAGTCGCTCTTACTACAACAAAGGTGGTCGTGGGACTTGAAACCAGCGGGGGTGTGGTGGCGCTGGTGCAAGAGGAAGAGGTGGTCACTCCAACAATGACAACAGTGAACCACACTTGAGGGGAGAGTGCTGGTATTGCAAGGAAGAAGGGCATCTATGGTTTCGCTGCTCTACCAAGCCTGACTGGTGGACCCCTTGGAACCAATCGCAAAAGGGGAATGGAGGAAAGCACCTACATGGAGGTGCACACATGGTAACTGATCCTGCTGAAGAAAACTCCAAGGATGACGGAGTTATGGGAAATGAGGAGAGGGACGCTGAACAGTTCTATTATGTAAGTCACAAAGATGATAGTGACACAGCTGTTGCAAAGGCTGGTGAGGAACTGCACCCGCTTGATATGTGGGTCATGGACTCTGGTGCGGCATCGACAATGACACCGCGCAAGGACTTGTTGGATGATGTCCGAGCGCCTCCAATCTCTGAAGTGCGCTCAGCATCTGGACATGCTATGAAGGTCGCTGGAGTTGGTTGAGCTGCGTTCTGAGCACTCAATGGTGGACTGGTTGTCCTGAAGGATGTGTTACTCGTACAGGGGCTGAAGGTGTTGGTGCATATTCATTTGCACGTCATCCTGTCGTCTGTTCGCATCATTTCGTTGCATGTGTTTTATGTGCTACGTTGTTTGTATGGTTTGTTGGGTTTGCATGTCTTTTCATGTATGTCTTGTGCTTGTGCAGATGTGCTTGGATTGTGCATGACATTGAGTACATTCCAACGAGCCAAGAATTGTTGGAATCGGAGCATACATGAAAAGGTTACGAAGAAATGTTTGATGGATTTGTTACAACTCATTGGAAGTCCTTGGCAGCTGCTACACCAAAGTTGGAGAGCCCTATAACGAGGAGGGACCAGCATGTGTGGGACTTTTGTTCTCACCTTGCAGCTGCAGCATTTGGGGTTTGGAGGCCAACCTGGCACAGTGTGAATTTTGTCTTGCCAGGCTGGTTGAGCCTGAGGATGGGGAGTCAAGACTTTGACTCTTGTCATATTCTTGACCAAGGGCCTCCTGGGTCCTTCCCTTTCATCCTTCCCTTCCTACCCCACCTTCCAACTATGCTTCAATGCCTTTTCCATCATGCCTCTGAACTTGTAAGCTTCAATAATAGTGACTCTGAGGACTGTCAATTTCTCCTAGGGCAGATTACCCCCCAGTGCGCCAAAGGCCATAGCTCACTCGATAAGCTACGGAATCGAGTGATTCAACTTTCAGTGGAAAGCTGACGCTGCAAGCTACAATATATCCCATGTTCACAGTGTTTCATCGATTGGAGTTTTGAATATAGCTTTTCGAAGGTCGCGAGTTTTCTGGGCATCATAACGAAGTGCTGCAGAAATTTCCAAGGAGCCATTGAATCATCTGCTTATAGCCTTCTCTAACCAACATGTGGTATCAGAGCCCATTATCACGCATTTGGGACCTAAAATACGATGGGAGATAAGGAGGACTCTGGTGGAGGTGATACTTCAGTCCAAGGAGGCAGCTCAACCCAAGATTCTGGCATTGCTGCGCAAAGAGGAGCACGTACAAGCCAGGGGTCACTGCTTAAGGAGGTGCTGAAGAACTTCACCATTGAGAAGTTCTCTGGAGATGGCTATGATGATTGGGCATGGAAGATGCAGCTCTACTTTCGACAAATTGGTCTCTTGAAGGTCATGATTGGAACGGAGCCAAAGCCAAAGGAAATGGCAGAGTAAGTGGACTGGGATGAACATTCATCTGCTGGGTATTATCTACTGTCACAAAGCTTGGAGCTTCTCTCATGCTGGATCGGGAGCTGTCCATGCTGCGGTTGAGCAAGAATGAACCTGTGCAGCCCGTACTGGACAAGATGAGGGAACTGTACGCGAAATTGGCGATTGCAGGCATCACGTACCCTGAGCAGACTAAGTGTCTCAAGATGCTCAGCCTGCTGCCCGAGTCTTGGCTGCAATTTATAAGCGGACTCAGCTTGCCACAAAACCAAAGTCAATGGACATTGGAGTGGATTCGCACCAAGATTCTGGAAGAAGATTTTCGTCACTATACACTGCGCGGAGGTGATGAAAGCACCAGCGGCTACGCCATACAAGGGACATGGAGGGATCGAGGGCGTGGCAATCGCAGTCTCTCTTACTACAGCCAAGGTGGTCGCGGGACTTGGAACCAGCAGGGGCGTGGTGGCGCTGGTGCAAGAGGAAGAGGTGGTCACTCCAACAATGACAACAGTGAACCACGCTTGACGGGAGAGTGCTGGTATTGCAAGGAAGAAGGGCATCTATGGTTTCGCTGCTCTACCAAGCCCGACTGGTGGACTCCTTGGAACCAATCGCAAAAGGGGAATGGAGGAAAGCAACCACATGGAGGTGCCAACATGGTAGCTGATCATGCTGAAGAAACCTCCAAGGATGACAGAGGAATGGGAAATGAGGAGAGGAATGCTTGACAGTTCTACTATGTGTGTGACAAAGATGACAGTGGCACAGCTGTTGCAAATGCTGGAGAGGAATTGCACCCGCTTGATATGTGGGTCATGGACTCTGGTGCTGCATGGACAATGACACCATGCAAGGACTTGCTGGATGCTGTGCGAGCGCCTCCAATCTCGGAAGTGCACTCAACATCCGGACATGCAGTGAAGGTCGCTGCAGTTGGTCGAGCTGTATTCAGAGCACCGTATGGTGGACTGGTTGTGCTGAAGGACGTGTTACTCGTACCGGGGCTGAAGGCCAATCTGATATCGCTGCGCAAGCTAGGCCAGGCCGGAGTCAGCACCACCACTAATGGATCCAAAACATTCAAGGGGCTGCGAGGAGATCGTGTGTTATGGGATTTAGACGAAAGCAGAGATGTCTTCAGATCCATGTGGCAGATCCCTGCACTGATATGGGAATCAACAAAGAAGGAGTTGGGAGCAGTAAAGGCAGGATTTAGAGTCCAGGGGGATTGCAATGCAGTTAGTGCTGCAGGAGTGACGGTTTCTGCAAGTTTGGGGGAGACTGATTGGGAAACCGCACACAGGCGTCTAGGGCATGTGGCTATGCCATTGCTGCAGCAATTGCATAAGGAAGAAGCAGTAAAGGGGCTGAAGCTTTCTGGGAACCAAATGATACCAAGTGCAAGACGTGTCTGCTGAGCAAGTTCACACGGTTCCCCTTTCACGGCGTAGCTGGGAAAAGCAAGGCAGCACTGGAACTGGTGCACATGGACCTGGTAGGACCTTTTCCAGTTCGAGGAAGTAAGGGGGAAAGGTACTTCCTGAGAATAATTGATGACTGGAGTCGGTTGATGTGGGCATACCCGTTGAAGCAGAAGGATCATGCTGCCTCAACAATACGAGATGACTGGCTGCCGTTCGTCGAGCGACAATCTGGGCACCCGTGCAAGAGCATCAGAACCGACCGAGGTGGAGAGTTTCTAGGAGGAGATCTGACTGCGTGGCTAAAAAAACAAGGCATTGAGCATCAGCTAACGACGTCCTATACCCCTCAGTCAAATGGCGTTGCTGAGAGGGCTAATAGGACCATCCTAGAATCTGCGCGAGCTTTGCTGATCGAATCTGGGCTGGGAAACTCCATGTGGCCTCATGCGGTGAGGCATGCTACAGTGGCAAGGAACCGCGTACTCACAAAGGTGGCTGATGATATGTGGGTGCCGCTGGAGAGGTGGCTTGGAAAGAAGCCTCCAGTGGACATGCTTAGAGTGTTCGGATGCATGGCAGTGGCGCATGTCCTTAAACCGTACAGGACAAAGCTTGGAGCATCTGCACTGTGGTGTGTGCACCTTGGGCTTGCGGCAGAGAGCAAGGGGTGGCTACTCCGGGAGCCCTCAAAGAATGTGCTGTTTGACAGTCGGGATGTCAAGTTTGTGGAGAACATCATGTATGGCAAGTGGGAGAAGCAGCCGGAGGCAAGGGTCACCCAGCAGCTGGAAGAGATCACTATGCACTTCGATTTGTCAGAACCTGAGGACAGCGAAGTCACTGCGCCAACAGCAAGCGGTACTGATGAAGGAAGCAATGAGGATATTGCAGCTGATGCTGAAGTCAAGGATCCGGAGCAGCAGCAGCAAGAGGCTTCCAAAACACCAAGTCTGCCAAAGCGAAGGAAACAGATTGGTGGGGGGACAAAGGATTGGGTGAAAGTGAAAGAATGGGTAAATCCAACCATCTACCCTGCACGTACCAGAATGGCAACGAGAAAGCTTCTGAGCTCTACAAGTGGAGGAGCCACAACTGAGTAGCAGGAACAGGCTCAAGGCGAAGATGCAGTGCTGCTCTTGGGTGATGACCAAGAGTCAGATGGCGAGGAGCCTGCATACTGCCTTTACGCACCAATGCAACCTCCGAAAATGGATCATGCGCTAGCCAGGCCTCAACAGGGGAACTGGCTCGTTTCAAGAGATGCAGAGTACAACAGCGAGATGGAGAATCACACATGGGACCTGGTGTACTTGCCAAATGGGAAGAAGTCAATACAGTGCAAGTGGCTGGCAAAAATCAAGACGGATGAGAAAGGAGAGCCATCAGTTTACAAGAGCAGGCTGGTGGCAAAGGGGTTTCAGCAGAAAGAGAAGGAAGATTACAAAGAAGTGTTTGCCCCAACTGCTAAGTCTCCAACGCTACGTGTGCTGCTGGCGGTAGCTGCTGTGCGCAAATGGAAGGTGAAGCAGATGGACATCGTAACCGCTTTTTTGTACGGCATTGTGGAAGAGGAGGTGTACATGGTTCAACCACTTGGCTATAAGGATGGAACCGGTCTTGTCTGCAAACTTAACAAGGCCATCTATGGCTTGAAGCAGGCCCCGAGATGCTGGTACAACAGACTGGCCAGTGCACTGGAAGGGATTGGATTCCGTGCGAGTGCATGCGACGAGAGCCTATTCCTGATGGGCGAGGGATTGTCGCTTGTGCTTCTGCTGGTGTACGTGAATGACATCCTGCTCTTTAGCAGCAGTGACAAGGAGATCGATGGGGTGCAGCAGAAGCTCACAGAGCAGTTCAAGTGCAAGTCACTTGGAGAGGCAAGGTACTACCTGGGAATGCACATTGAGCGGGATACTGAACGTGGCTGGCTCAAACTGCATCAGGGATAGTACATCAACACCTTGGCTGAGAAGTACTCTCTGCAAGAAGAACGGGAAGTGGTCACACCTTTGCCTTCCGAGTTCAAACTCATAAAGGCAGCTGAAGGAGGAGTTGAGAGTGAAGACCAGAGGCAATTCCAATCCATGGTCGGGAGCCTACTCTACGCTGCTGTGCATACTCGGCCTGACATCAGCTTTGCTGTGGGACAGCTGGCTCGAGTAGTGCAAAATCCAACAGAAGAGCAGTATGGTGCAGCGGAGACAGTGGTGCGCTACCTCAAGTCATACCCTACAGTGGGAGTACAGTATTCAGCCTCTGCTCAACTCAGTCAGAAGGGAGTTGAAGTTCTCAAAGAGAAGGGGGAGCAGCTCGGAGAAGGAAAGGTGTTCCTTTCCTGTTTTGCTGATGCCACATGGGCTTCTGAGCATGAGGATTCATCATCAGTTGGTGGATACATCTGCATGGTGGGAGGTGGGCCTGTAAGTTGGAGGTCCAAGAAGCAGTCTGAGATGGCACTATCTTCAGTGGAATCTGAGTACATGGCAATGTTTCATGCGGCAAAAGAAATCATTTGGCTAAGGAGGCTCTTGAAGGAGATCGGCCATGAACAAACCTGTGCGACACCTCTGTTCAGTCGCAGAAAGGGAGCCATTGCCATGGCACGCAATGCAGTTCTTCATGGGTTGAACAAGCATATGAGGATCAAGTGGCATAGGCTGCGGAAGGAGGTGAAGCTTGGGACACTGGATTCGATCTACGTGAAAACTCAGCAACAGCCAGCCGACTTCCTTACCAAGCGGCTAGCTGAAGAGCCACACTGGCGCTGTGCGAGGATGGTGGGAATGTCCTTGAACTAGAGATTGCGAAACAAGCGACAGTCTGAGGGGGAGTGTGTTGGTGCATATTCGTTTGCACGTCATCCTGTCGTCTGTTCGCATCATTTCGTTGCATGTGATTTGTGTGCTACGTCGTTTGTATGGTTAGTTGGGTTTGCATGTCTTTGCATGTTCATCTTGTGCTTGTGCAGATGTGCTTGGATTGTGCATGACATCGAGCACATTCCAACCAGCCAAGAATGGTTGGAATCGGAGCACATATGAAGAAATTACGAAGAAATGTTTGATGGATTTGTTACCACTCATTGGAAGTGCTTGGCAGCTTCTACACCAAAGTTGGAGAGCCCTATAACAAGGAAGGACCAGCATGTGTGGGACTTTTGTCCTCACCTTGCAGCTGCAGCATTTGGGGTTTGGAGGCCAACCTGGCACAGTGTGAATTTTGTCTTGCCAGGCTGGTTGAGCCTGAGGATGGGGAGTCAAGAAATTGACTCTTGTCACGTTCTTCCCTTTCATCCTTCCCTTCCATACCCACCTTCCAACTATGCTTCAATGCCTTTTCCATCATGCCTCTGAATTTGTAAGCTTGAATCATAGTGACTCTAAGGACTGTTAACTTCTCCTAGTGCAGATTACCCCCCAGTGCGCCAAATGCCATAGCTCACTCGATAAGCTACAGAATCTAGTGATTCAGCTTTCAGTGAAAAGCTAACGCTGCACGCTACAACATATCCGATTTTCAGATCGTTTCACCTATTGGATTTTTGGATAAAGCTTTTCCAAGGTCGCAAGTTTTCTGGGCGTCATAACGAAGTGCTGCATAAATTTCCAAGGATTCATTGAATCATCTGCTTATAGCCTTCTCTAACCAACACTTCCCAGCATTCTCGGATCACTGTGACCTCCTCGACCCTAAGTCCAACAAGCTCCTAGCACGCTTGACACTCAACAGCAGCAAGCTCTACACGCTGCGTTCACCTGCACCTCTCGCCGCCCTCTCCCATGTGCAAGCTGCCAACACGAGTCCGTGTTCTTGTTGCAGCTTGGACGGCACATGCTCCAACTACAAGGCTTGGCGTTATGGTGTCGACAAGCACCTCCTCAGTCGCGAGGTGAAGGGGCTCGAGCTCACCGACGTCCTTCTCAACATCGGTGACGGCAAAGAGTCTCCTAAACCTGAGAGGTCCGCCGATCCAGCTAATGCCGCCGCCGAAGCAGTTTATGCTGCTGCACTGCTCAAGTACAAGAATTGGGAGAAGGCCGATGGTGCGGTCATTAGTGTCATCATGGGCACCACTCCTTCCGAACTCGTCGAAACCTACCACAACTACCCGTCTGCGAACGCCATTTGGCTCTACCTCGAAGATCGCTTCAAAACAAGACTACACTGGGAGTTGCTATACTCATCCCCAGCATGTTCCAAGTGCGGCTCGAGGACTCGCCAGGCATGGCGGACTATGTCACCAAGGTGCAGTCCATTCATGGTGAACTCAAACAGTTGGGGATAGTCTTCCCCGAGCAAACCCCTGCAGCCGCTCTCCTAGTCGGCCTCACTCCGGCATACGAAGTCACACGCAAGATGCTCTTGGGCCTTGCTCCTGCGGACCTCACATTTTCCAAGGTCTCATCCGCGCTCCTTTCTGCCAAAATGGACAACAGCGCTCAAGCCAAGGCCAATGCAATTCGTGCTCCCGTGCCTCAAGCCTATGCCGCTTCGGCGCCATTCCAGCGCAACCGCTTCCCCCCGTGTCCCTACATCATCAAGCGCGGCCCTCGTGCTGGCCAGGTGTGTGGCGGCACCAACCACGCCCTTGCCTCCTGCTTTAAGAAGAAGGATGACGAGTGGTATGCCGTCAATGGGACCGCCTCCAAGCCGCCAAGCTGGATGGTCAATCGTGCTCCTCGCCAAGTCAATCAAGTCGAAGCGCAGGAATCCGTGCAGGTTGCTGTGGCTGCACCTGCTGATGTGCGTCTCAACATGTTGTTCCCTGGCACTGCCATGATTAATGAGATGATTTCGCAGTATCCTGGCTCACAAAGCACCTCAGCTACAACAGAGTTCACCCTCGACAGTGGGGCCACTCATACGGTTCTCAAGGAAGAACACTCCTTCAAGCCATACGAGACACCAATCCGTCTACTTGGAGCAGACTCCAGTTTCACAACACACGCTAAGGGCTCCTCCACAGTTCCGTGCCCAGCTTTTCCTTCGGGCAGTGTCACCGGCATGTGTGTTCCCACACTACGCCACAATCTCGTGGCCCAAGACGAGCTCCAACGGGCAGGCGTCACCACGATCTTCCCAGCACACTCGGATCACTGTGACCTCTTTGACCCTAAGTCCAACAAGCTCCTAGCACGCTTCGCACTCAACAGCAGCAAGCTCTACACGCTGCGTTCACCTGCACCTCTCGCAGCCCTCTCCCAAGCGCAAGCTGCCAGCTGTTAGAATATACCATGCTATGCTAGTTGTGTATATTGTGTTTACATCCCTAGTTGGGTGTACTCCTGTGTTGGGGTGTCAATCCAACCCAATTGTGGTTGGAGCCCCCAAACACAAGGACCACAATTGTGGGGGCACCACAAGTGGGTTGGCTAAACCACTGGTGGTACACCACACTTGGACCACCTCCAACTGGTGGTCAACCACATTTGGAAGGATCCTCCCTCCCTTGTGATTGGTCCTAACCCCCCTTTCCCTTCCAACCTTCCCTTCCTAGCTCATCCCTCTCTTCCTATGTAATGCCTTTGCTTCATCAATAAACTGAACCTTTATGTTTCTAACATGGTATAGAGCAATAATGGCTCACGCCAACTTTTAAATCCCGATCCTTCCCCACGCTTCCGCCCCGTCCCCTTCCGACGTGCACCTCATTGCCGTCCCCTCCATCGCCGCTGCTAGACTCCTAGCCGCCGCCTCTCAACTAGTTTTCTGTTGGGTGGATTTTCAAAAACCCCCAATGCGCCAAACGCCATAGCTCGCTCGATAGTTGACAGAATTGAGTGATTCGACTTGCAAAAGAACGCTCTTGGTGTCAGCTACAACGTCGTAAAATTTCGGACTGTTTCATTGCTTGGATTGTCATATATCGCTTTCCGAAGTTTGCACACTTTCCTGGATGTGATCACGAAGTGCTACTGAAATTTCTACCAAGTCCTATTTTCATCAGCTAACTACCATCTTTCCCCATCTTTTGCCTCCTCACCTGCACCTGCTCATCGCCGCCTTACCACTGCTGCAGCCGTAGCAGCAGCAGCAGAAGCAGCAGCAGCACCAGAAGGAGCAGCAGACTCAGCAGCAGCAGCTGCAGCAGTAGCAGCAGCAGCAGCAGCAGCTGAAGGAGTAGCAGCAGCAGCAGCAGCAACAGCGGCAGCAGCAGCAGTGGCAGCAGCAGCAGCGGCAGCAGCAACAACAGCAACAGCAGCAGCAGCAGCAGCAGCAGAAGGAGCAGCAGCAGCAGCAGCAGCAGCAGCAGTAGCAGCAGCAGCAGCAGCAGCAGCAGCAGCAGCAGCAGCAGTAGTATCTACAGCCATCCCCATCCTCCCCTCCTCTTTGAGCCGCCGCGGGTCCACCCGCCGCCGCTCCCTCCCGGCCACCGCGGGTCCACCCGCCGTCGCCTTCCTCCCACTCCGTGTCACCAATGGCATCCTTTCCCCCTCCCGTCGACGTCTCGACCCTCGATCATCTCGTGCGCGCTGCCGACAACTCAGCAACCAACTGGTATTCCTTCGTCGGCAGCCTCCACCGCGTCCTCGGCAGTGCTTATGTCCTGCCGTTCCGCCTCCTGGACATCATGCTTGGTCTCCCAGAGGGTGACCTTGGGGACCCGCCGCCTCACCCTGGCGATCCCCCCCCTCTCATTCCCCATCCTGGCGAGGAACCTCCGCCCCCCATGGTACCCGTTGGCACCAGCACTCGCGCTGCCACCGCTGAAGTTGAGCAGCTCTTCCTTACTCAGCGTTGTGAGTTCCTCGTGCTCCATACTGATTACCTGATCGCGTTGGAGGAACACGAGCGGTCGGCTACCCTCCGCACCCAGCATGCCGCTACCGCCGCCGCTTATGCCGCTGACTCTGCGTGATTTGCTGAGCGTCGTCGCGCCTGGCTCGAGGCGGACAGCCGTGCTACTGGTGCCCTTCTCCTTGCCATCCCGTCTGCGCTCATGCGCAACTTCCAGGCACGTCGCATCGGCTCCCGCCAGATCTGGCTCGAGCTTGAGGCAATGTTCGAACGCACCGACTTCGATGCTGTCGGACCGCTCTTCAAGGAATACTTCAGCATCACGATCGAACATAGTGCTGGCGCCGTTGACTACACCAGCCGTCTCCTGGACCTTGCCTCCCGCCTTGAGGCTCGCCAGACTACTCTCCCCCCCAACCTTCAGATCTACCGTCTCCTCGAAGGCCTCTCCCCTCAATATGAAGTGCGCATCATCGCTTGCACTGAGGCTCAGCCCCGCGCCTCCCTTGACACTGTGGTCCAATGGATCATTGACGCTGAGGCCCGCCTTCTCTCAACCCCCCCCTCCGGCCTGAACTCCACCGAGTCCCAAAACTCCCAGCTTGCAGTCACACAGCCGCGTCGTGGCGGGCGCCCACGTGGCGGCCGCACCAACCCTCAGGGAGGGGGTGGAGGTGGCGGTTGTGGGGGCAGCGGAGCCGGCGGCGGTGGTGGCGGGGTCGAGGGTGGCAGCAGTGGTGGTGGTGGAGGCAGTGGTGGCTCATCTGGTAGCCGTGGCTCATCTGGTAGCCGTGGTGGCCGCCCTGG